AGTTTGTTGAATCTGACGTGACATGTTCGTACGAACCCTTTGTACGAACAAAAGTAAGAGAAATTTAGGATAAGAATACAAACATGTTCTTGCATGAGGCCCAATATTTCTAAATTTTTTTATTTCTAATGAAGTCGTAAAACGTAGAGTCGAGGCCACCTCCCCTCTGCTGGTTTGCTGCACATAAACTGAGTCCATTTGGTCCAGTTAATCAACAAGTACGTCTGCACCTTCTCATATTTCATTTTTAAAAAGTTAAAAACAAATGCTTTTAGAAAGAAATTAGTGGGTTTGATTCTGGTGATGGAGAAGCGCTCATGAATGACATCACTCCTGACCAATCAGTGACCTGCGGTCTGCCTGCAGACCATTCATTTTGACAGATCTGATCATAAACTTTGCAGCTTTTTCAAAATGAAATGAAAAAACTTTCTTTGTTTAACGAAGCCTGTTGGCGAATGAATAACATTTTTATTTTTTCATCGTTAGCTGCAATTTGTCCCTAAATTTCTGATCAGTCGTCCTGGTTTTGTTTTGTGCAGAGCATGTGGCCCCTCCAAAGAAACCCCCTCGGCCCGGGGCCCAGAGCCAAGTAGGAGGTCTGGCCTGTCTTAACAGCGGAGACAGTTACAACGATGGAGTAAAGGTACAACCGCATGTAAAATATGAGCTCAAACCATAAAACAAATCCACTCACTCGTGTCTGAACAGCTGACAGCAGCATGCACACGATACAGCATTTACCAAACACAAATTGCATGGTTTTAATGCTGACTCTGTTAATATTTTCTCTCTTTTTGTTTTGTTTTTCCCCCTTTGGCTGCTTCATCTCTCCCTTCCTCTTCCTCCTCCTTCTGCACTCCACCTTACTGTTGACCCCTAGCCCTGGCGGGTAAGCAGCACTCTGTGTTTACTGTGTGTCTCTTCTCTCACTCAGTTTGATCATTGATTCAACTAATCCCAGCTATCTGTAGTATTAACATTTCAACTCTCCAGCTGGGATCCTGCTCAGTTGGGAGTTTTAGTTGTTTGTTTTTGCTCCAAATTAACTTTCTGATTAGAAACTAATCCAGCTGCAGATGCACAATTTGTTTGCTTAGAATGAAAATCTTTAGTTAAACAAGTCAGCCTGGTCAGGTTTTTATCAGGGTTTATTTTTTACCGTTTTGAATTCTTTCTTTATCTTAAAAAAGGAGGGTTTTGTTTTTTATTTTTCAAAGTTTAAAGTAACAGAAGCTGACCCAAAGTGGCATTAGTTCAGGAGGATGGATGGAGAAATGGTAAATGGACTGAACTTATAGAGTTTATCAAGTCCCTCCGGACCCCAAAGTGCTTCACACTTACAGACATATTCACCCATTCACACACACATTCACACACTCATGGTGCTAAGCTACATTGTAGCCACAGCTGCCCTGGGGCACCCTGACAGAGGTGAAGCTGCCTTGCACTGGCACCACCGGACCCTCTGACCACCATCAGTAGGAAAAGCAAGTGAAGTGTCTTGCCCAAGGACACAACGACTGAGACGGCTGGAATGGGGCATTGAACCGGCAACCTTCTGGTTACAGGACGAYGCCCCTAACCACTCCATCCTTTATGATTTAACATAATTATTAATAAACATGATACAAGAAAAAATCAAAACAGTAATTAAAAACTTGGGGCGGCTGTGGCAGACTGGTTTGTGGGGTTGTCCTTATGGTGGGTTGCCGGTTCAAAACTCCATACCATTCGTCTCAGTCAGGCAAGACGGTTCACCCGCCTTGGCTGCTGGTGGTGATCAGAGGGTCTGGAGGTGCCAGTGTTTGGCAGCCCCGGTGCATCAGTGTGTGACTGTTGTGTGAAGTGCTTTATACATTCAAGCCATTTAACATTTAAAAAGTTCTGTTAGTAAAATAATAACAAATACTAAAGATGTGACCTGTACTGATGTCATTCTTTTAGATGAATATCTAAACTGACGTGGGTTCACTTTGTCTTTGATTGTAATAAAATAACTACGAGGACAGAACAAGAGTGCGTGTTTACTTCTATTCAGAACATGGAAATAAACAAATAGTTATCACTGTAAACAAATCTGTAGTAAAGCTGAGGAGGACTACAGCTTACCTAAAACCATAGTTCAGATCTTTGCAAATGGAGTTTTGTGGAAAGGTGTGAACAATAAATATCTTACCTGTTGTAGCAGTTTGATCCTCCTCAGTTTGGAAGAGTTTAATTCTGACAAGCTAACAGCTAGTCAGAGCAGGGCCGAGAACAGAGCTGATTGCTGCCGTCTTAAAAACAACTTTGATCTTAGTTTTTTTAATAGCTCATGCAAACACTAAACCTTTACATCGCCATCAGTTTCACATACATTGCAACTGCAATGTAAGGCTTTATAAAGAGTTTGGAGCTGTATTAAAATGGCAACAAGTCACTTATTTTTTGTCCCACTCAGACTAGTTATTAGTTTGTCCACAAATTGATTTAAAAACATCCAAAGTATCACTTTAAAAGGTTTGAGTTTGTCATTACTAATGTACAATGTGACACTGCCATCTGGTGGCCAGAATTTAGAACCACACCCAGGAACACTTACTATTTTTTATGTCCTGCAGCTGTTTATTATTATTATTATTGTTGTTGTTGTTGTTGTTGTTGTTGTTGTTGTTGTTGTTGTTGTTACTATTAATATTATTATTTCCCCTCCTACTGTTCAGCTGCAGCCTCAGGAGATAAGCCCGCCTCCCACAGCCAATCTGGACCGCTCAAACGACAAAGTGTACGAGAACGTGACGGGACTGGTGAAAGCTGTGATCGAGATGTCGAGTAAGATTCAGCCAGCGCCTCCGGAGGAATACGTCCCCATGGTCAAGGTAACACGCACTCACCGCTTTGTCTCAGATTATGATTTTTTTAAAAATGTTTTGATTTAATCACACCATGTAGTAGGTTAGGGAACAGATACTCCCCTAAGATTAATTTATAATTCAGTTTAAGCCCTTCTGGGACAAGAGGTTTTGTTTCCCTTCAGTCCATCTGTATCATTTTTAAAATCTCAGCTTGATGAAAAATGAAGATGTTGCTCTTATTAGGATTTTGTGGTTTTCACTCATCATTTCAGGGTGTTTGCAGTTTATAATAACTTTGTACTTTCCAAACTCCCAGTTTGGCCACTTCTGTTGTGTCCTGAAGACATCAAAGCCAGGATGTTCTCACACTGTATTTTTATTTGGGTTTTAAAACAGACAGTGATTTTAAACTAGATTCCCAGTTTGGAGCGGTAGTCCAGGCCAGTTTTTATCATTTCAGGGAGCTGGCAAAGGTAAAACTCTTTCTTACAAAGAGACTTGCTTTTGTTTATTTATTTATTATTTTTCTATTTTATTGTTTCAGCTGCTTTTATTTTTCATTTTATTTGTTTTAAATGTTTGATTTTACATGTACAGCATTTTGTTGCAGTTGTGGCTATTTTAAAGTACCTGTGACATCAGGTTGTTGTAATGAATATGAATGAATTTTTGCAAGGTTAACATTAAAAACATAACGCAAAACAAATTTCATGTCGCTGGGATGAAGAGTTGTTGAGATATTTGCGTGTGAAGTAACAGGAAGTGATGACAAAAGGGAATGTCTGCATGTGAACAGAGCGTGGCTACAATGGCTGACAACCCAGACTGCAGAGAAGAGTCAGATGTTTCTTTAGATTATTTTGAGTCTCTGTCAGAGAGAGAGAGGACGAAGAGTAAAAGTTCAAATAATATTGTTTCAAGAAACAAAGACCAGGGAGTTTTCTTTCTTTGTTAAAGAGTTCCCCTTTGATGTCACTTCCTGTTTCACTTTGGCTGAGCCAAGTTCAAAAAAATATTGTGGTTATGTGACAAAAATAGGTAAAATGATGTCAAGTTTCCTAAATGTAAAGATTTTTTTTTTACTTTTTTATATTTGTTTAAAGGTTATACGTGTCACAGGCACTTTAAAGTGCTTTAGGAATAAAATTGTAGTAGTTAATAGTAGTACTGTAGTAGTAGTAAGAGATAAAAGCAAGCAGGACTTCGCAGCATGACAGCCAAATGTAATGCGTTCGCAGCCATTCTGAGTCACTTGTCTAGTTTGTTTTAAAAATTGTTTTAATACTCAAATCTGCCATTTGTGTCCTGAAGTGTTTCTTTTGTTTCAGGATGTTGGTCTGGCTCTGAGGACATTATTGGCCACAGTAGATGAGACTCTACCTCAGCTCCCAGCCAGCACACACAGAGAGGTAGAAACACTTCAGTCCCGGTCAAACACACCTGGCAGGTTTTTACTGAGTCCGTTTGTTTTCATTTATTACCTTTTGCAGATCGAGATGGCACAAAAACTGCTGAACTCTGACTTGGCAGAGCTGATTGGGAAGATGAAGTTAGCCCAACAATATGTGATGACCAGGTAGGGGAGGAGATTAGGATTAGATTAGTAGGTTTAGTTTGATTGGTAAATCAGAGTTTATAAAGCCGCTCGTCTTTGTGTGTCAGTCTGCAGCAGGACTACAAGAAGCAGATGCTGACGGCAGCTCACGCTCTTGCCGTTGATGCCAAGAACCTCTTGGACGTCATCGACCAGTCGCGGCTGAAGATAATGGCCCACTCCCGCCCACACTAGCCCCACCGTACCCACCGAGGGGCTGAGTTGACTCAGCGGGAAACACGGCGCCTCTATGGTTTCTGCTGCAGAACTAGAGACTTCTGGATGGGTGGCKTCAGTCCTGAGAGATGACAGAAGGCTGCTCTGTTCTCATCACGACCTGAGGGGGGGAAATCAAACCATTATACCTTCAATCCTCCTTTAGGATGGGATTAAGTTATCAACCACTGTGACTTTCCTAAGACAAGTAAAAACACTTCCTGAGTCAGAGCCTGTGCAGCTCTGCTCTCTTTGGACTGGACTGAAGAGATAAGAGGACTGCAGAAACTGATTTTTTTTTTAACTCTGGATCTGGAGATAAAAACTTCCTGATGGTATCAAACACTATAAAGGGAGTGATCTGACATCGGGTCCATCAGAACCTGACTGGACTGTGAACTATGTGAAACATATCTCTGTGAAACATCAGCCATCTCAGTGTGTTTGTCCACATGGATCACCTCGTTAGGTCTTTGGTTGTGAACTCTGGACGTTTTGGATCCGGTGATCTCAGACGGACGTCTCGACTGGACGACGCTCGGCGGATCCACCTGGAAGCCTTCGCGTCTTCTTCGACGCTGTCTCTTCTCCGCGCGCTCCTGTTCCCTCCGTCTCACCGGTTTTTATTTATAGACTCGACTCACAGAGGAGACGGAAGGAGGGAACAGGAGGTGAAACTTCAGGAGCACACAGTCCTCCTCCTCTATTTGACTCTTGTCCTTCTCTTCCTGCAGTCTTCCTCAGCTCGTCTCTGAGCAGGTTTTTAAAAGACTCTAAATATGAAGAATACCCCACGCAGGACACTTTCCACTCCCCGGTTTCGTCAACTCTTTTTATTTTATTTTTTTGTTTAATTTTGGCTGGCTCCATTTTTTGTGTTGTTTTATCACTTTCTGGACTGAAAACTGTTTGTAACTCAGAGAACAGGCAATCCCAGCAAAGAAAAAACAAAAAAAAGAAAAGAAAAAGAGCTTGATTTTAAACTGTAATGTAAAGACGTATGTTCTTTTCTTTTCTTGGGTCAGGAAACAGTTCATATGTTCCTCCAAGACCGGGAGGGGGAGGGGGGGGCGGGGTCGCACTTTGTCCAATCGCTCAGCTGTGGCACAAAAATAAACCTCCAACAAACCAGGTGTATCACTTTAAAAATGTCCCGCCCAACCACCGTCTCCAGGTAAACAMCACACAGGGAGCCACGTGACTGGAGCTGGTTTTACAAACAGAAAACTGTAAAAGTGAAACATGGAGTGAAGCCGGTATAACATCATATACTGCTATGAGGAAGGGAGCATATTTGCACAGCACCGAAATACGAATAAATCATAATCTAACCTTTTTAATCCCATTTTACCCAGATGTGACAATTCATGTTTAACCAGCAACAAAACGATCGACTTTCTGGGTCAAATATGGGTTTAAAATATTTAAAACACATTAAAAGAAAAAAAAATACCCTAAACAATCTATTTTATCTCAGTGTCGTGTAAATCTGCTCATGTTGGTATATTGTAAGCTATACTGGTGTGTATCACTGGTGAATTGTACAGAACTGGTAAACACTGGTTTTTATTTTGTCTTCTCGGCTAAATGCGCCGTCTTGTTAAATAGGAAGAAAAAAAACAAAACAAACAGTGAAATAAAAGAATGAAATGAGAGTGAGCTCATTTTTCATGTGAGTTTAATTTAAAAACTGCGTTTTTTATGTGCAATGTAGTTTGTATTTCATGCTTTGCTTCATTTTTTTTTGGCAAGATATGGTTATTTATATTACAAATGTKTTCTTTTCCACAGCACATTCAAAACAAGACAGTGCTTTAAAATGTAGTCAAACAAAACATTAAAATACAGTCATAATGAAAGTCGTAAATAATTATAAAATAACAAGTAAACTAAGATAAAATAAAGAGACACAAATYAAAAACATCAACTCTATTTGGGTCTCCTCTTGAGTCTTAAACCAAAGAATAAAACTTTCTGAGAAGCTGTTTAAAGTCTTGTTGAATCAAGACCRTTTAACCCTTTAAATGCAAGCATTCAAATCAACCCAGAAACAATGGAGATAAATCAAGACCAGGATTATGTATTTGATTTTTTTAGGCAGCTGCTGTATTTTGCATTTTTCTGGTTTATCTAAACTAAAAGTTCAATAAAGTAGACATATCCTGCTTTTAAACCCATCTTTTTTCATATTTAAATCATTTATATAAAGTGAAACGACAATGCTTTGTTCTGAATTCCTCCTTACTGTAACTCCACAAGCCCCTCTTTCACCTCATCTCTGAGGTGTGTCTCAGATCAACTCATTTTGAGGCTGTCTCTTTAAAATCYGAACGAGGTGTTTCACACTTYGCCCCTCTCTGGCTTTTAGACTGGTCCATTCTAGTTTAATAGAGGGGTTTACAACTTTACCAGTTAATTWAATGGATCCAAAATGGACCCAAAAGGCAACATCTCACTGGGCTGTGACTGATGAATTGTGAGGGCGTCTCCAAAACGTTTCCCTCTCGATTTTCTCAGGAGTCGCAGGAAATTAGAACATGTTCAGAAACCCCTTTTGATTTAACGTCTTTAATCCTAGAACACGAGTTTGTTTTATTAATATTTATGCAAACTCGTGGCAAACTTTGGCCCAGTTTTAGAGTTTGTGCAAACGGTTTCCGTCTTATGGAGTACAAAATGTGCAAACTTCTCTCCCAGCTTGTCTCCGAGCAGTTCTTAGCAGCAGCCCAGGCGAGATACAACCTAGAAGAAGTGAGAGGAGCTGCAGACGAAGAACATTCACCTTAATGAACAGGAAACCTCCCGTTTGTCAGGTTTGATTTAAAGCCTTCAATAACAACAACCCGTTTGAGTCTCGACCGCAGGATGAGCTGGAAAACGTCTGAAAAGCACTAAAACCGTAGACTTTCCTGAATCAACAGTGAAAACCAGCTAAGTGGCTTCCTCAGAGCTGTCATGATTTAACCTGATTGGAAAATAAAATCTCCGAAGTTAATTAAAAATTACATTCTCTGCAATTTGGAGGGAAAAAAAGTACAAAGTCAAAACTTTACAAAGTTGTGTAACGTAGTAGTGCAAATAGTTTAGAGAGGGCAACACAACATATTGAAAATGTTTCCATAGAGGCTTGTGATAAAGTGCATACCTAATTTCCCTCTGGGACAGTGGCAGATCTAGGATTTTTCTGAGTAAGGGGCCATCAAGGGGCCACAATATTCATAGAGGGGCCAAGTATTTGTTCAACATCATTGCACATAAATCCACGGTTTTGGTAAGGTGTATAAATTTAAGCGGTCACATATGTTCCAACATTGTAACGTAGTGTAATGTTATTAAAAAAGCTTAAATTCTCCATCAATTTTACATGATTTTTACTGTACGTGGATAAAATATTCTCAAAGCATGTGAGAAAATGAAGCCATTTGTCAGTGGACAGTTAATTTTTGCAAAAATTTTCAAGTCTTTTAAAGAAGAGAAGAAGACTGCTGTCAGATTGATTCATGTTGGACTTTACTGTTTGACTCATTAGCGCCTCTAGTGTTTGGGCCTGGAACTGCAGCCACCGTCATTCTCAAGCAAAGGACGGACGAGTGACAGGACAGGGGCACTTCAGGGGGCCAATCAGATTTCAGCAGGGGCCAATGCCCCTGTGGCCCCGCCCTTGCTCTGGGATCAATAAAGTATTTTTGAATTGAATTGAATTGACAAACTGGGTGCTTTGTAAAGTATGAGGAGCGTGGAGAAACAAAAGAACTAGGGAAATGTGGGTTTACTGCAACTGATGTCCTATTCATCGATAATATCAGTGGTGTGTGTGTGTGTGTGTGTGTGTGTGTCCTCAGTGTGTCCACAGCAGTGACAGGCCTGCGGTCAGAAGCAGCAGAGCAGGGGGGGTGTGGACGGAGCCGGCTCCACTTTTGTTGCAGTAGTCGTAGCCGCTGCAGCAGCTGACCTTGTTCCCGTTTCCGTTTGAGTCGACGGAGGCCGTGGAGGCGGCGCCGTTGCACGTGGCCCTGCTGGAGCACTGCTTCACTATCGCCATCATGTCACCTGAGCCACACAACACACACACACAATGTGTCAGAGATGATRGTGTTGATGATGATGATGATACACCAGATCGGACATGTGAGTTACCCAAAGTGTCGACGACGGTCATGCATGTGTCGAGCGGCGCCTGGCACCGCTGGTTGTTCTGGTTGCACACGGTGTTGGTGGCAGAGGAGCTGCACACGTAGCACGTCAGGGAGGTCACTGCACAGAGAAGAAGTCTGATTACTGATCAGCTGTTGAAGCACAGAGGAGGAGACTGGGTGCACAATTTAAAAAATATCACAGATAATATAAAATTTATTGCCAAGAAGCGATGTTACAACAAAAAGATAATCTAGCAAACACAGATTACCTTCCTTTTTATGCTAAAATTACTAAATCTATTTTCAGGTCAGTGACATTTTCCCATCATAACTTTGATTTGTAGATACTATGGTACCGACCTCTTAAAGGATAGAAGAAGAAAAAAATTCTGAATCAAACTAAATCTGTATTTGTATTCTTTTTCAACAAAAGGAAATGTCAGTTTTTATGTTTCCACAGAATAAAATCTGGTRCCTTTACCAAGAGATAATAATTCAAAGAAAACCTTGTGTTGTCAAAATAAAAAAAACGAAATAGATGTCATTTTAACAGGTTGTTAAACGTACTTTTACCTGCATAAATGAACACTTGATGTGAGTGTTTTATCAATCAAGTGGAATGGATTTGTTTGTGAAGCAATAGAAACAGCTGGCAAACTAATGTTTTACAGTAAGTGTGTGTGTGTGTGTGTGTGTGTGTGTGTGTGTGTGTGTGTGTGTGTGAGAAGGACACAACCCCTTCACAAATATATGAGCTCTAGTCCTCTTTTTTAAAAAAAAAAAGTCAAATTGACATTTTGGGGTACATTTAAAAAACATAGAAAGGAACAAACTTCCTCAAGTTTGAACCTCTTCTAACCACTTTCAAAACCTTTTTTTTTTTTTTTGCTCGTTGTACTTTTGTGAACAAAAACAGTTTAGTATAAACAGCCAAAACTACAAATAAAGACTTTAAAAAGCTCAATTTATAAACTATCTAAATTTAATGTAGCATTTTCCCAATCTCTTATTTGTTTTTGCTTTTTCATGCCATACCTGTGTTCCTGTGTCTTTTGGCAAAAATATCCACACAAATCTAAAGATGTATGGCTTTAGCTCTTCTTGACTCTACATTAACACTCCCAGACTGCTCAGGGGATTCATCATCACTTCCATATGTTACATAAATTCAAATAAAAAAATGAAGTAAACCACAAACAGAAATGTCTGAGCTTTAATTATACAGTTTATGCTGCATCTTTGTGACTCACTTATAGCATTTAATTCAAATATCTAATTGAAATGTCTGCTCATAAAAAAAGAAAAGTCCTGTTCAGATCTAATTAAAGCCATTAAAGCACGTGTTGCACCTGCAGCTGTCTGGTTTGACGGCTCTCCTCCCCGCTGTCACGCCCAAGCGATCTATCTTTACTGCACAGTTTGTTTCATGCTTTGTTTTCAGTGAGGTGGTTAAGTGTCGTGGGAATCCAAAAGGCCTACTCCTTTTAGAGCTGGATTATTTCACTTAAAGAGGACGTAAGAAGGTCCTGGGTTCAAAACCTGATTCAAACCTGGGATCTTTCTGTGTGAGGTTGTTGCCTCCCTCTATAAAAGACATCTGGGATCTCAGTGGGATTTTCCGGGTTAAATCATGATCAGTACATTCACTTGACAATATAAAGTGGTGTCAGCTTCAGGGGAAAGTTGAACAGATTTAAATGTAAACAAAATGTGTGTTTCATTTCACATTTTGGCCCTTTGAAGAATGTCATCATTGTGATATTAGCTCACTTCAATCTCCCAATTTGACTCATCAACAAATCTGATGAAGGAGCTCAAACATCTGAAAACTCCCTCTGACCTTGTTCCATGTCAGAAATCACCTGAATAGAATTAAATGTATTTTTACTAACAAAGTCAAATTAATGTTTTTAATGGTTGTATCTAAAGCAGAGGTGTCCAGAGGGCCGGTGTCCTGCTTCACCTGCCAGAAACGACTGCATGATTAACAGGCTTCTGCTGGACTTGTGAGTGGGTTGTTTAATTGTTGGAATCAGGTGTGCCGAAGTGGGAAACCGCTAAAATATGCAGTTATTTAAAAGAACCAGGACACCCTTGATCTAAAGAAAGCAACACAAAACAAGTCGATTTAAAGGTGGAAAACACAATAAAACTTTAATGGATATTATTTATTATTTCTTTTATGCAGTCTTCACTCTTTCAGTTAACATAGTTGGACTTTTATGTAATAATTTGCAGAAAAACTGATATATATATTTTAATTTGCTAACATTTTCATAAAGAAAATAATACAGAATAAAATATTGTAAATTATCCCATAGTTCTTCAGCAGCACAACCCATTTGAGATCAATTGTTGATTTTTCGTTCCTTTTTAAAATTATATACAAGTGACAAACGGGTTGCGTTTTTATTTCCAATTTAAGCAGAAGGTTTGAAATAAACAAACAGCAGAAGAATAAACAGGTGTGAAAAGTATTCTTTAAGTATTAATATTAGAATTAAGAAATACTTCTGTTGAAGCTGAAGTATTAACTTGAACTTTTTAGTCAGCTAAATGTACAAACATGCTGGTTTTAAAACTAAACATGAGCACCTGTTCAAGCTGTGGTTTGTGTCATTCACTCTATCTGGGCAGCACCATACATGTGGACATGGGGGGATTATGACCCCCACAATAATTTGATCAAGTCAAAACAACCCCTCCAAAAAAAATAAAAAAATAAAAAAAAAACGACATCATTTACTCAAATACAAAAGAAATTAAGTGGTTAAGAAGACAGATGCAACTGTCTTGTTGTCTTTACTGAACTTTAATCTGAATTAAAATTTTATGATGTCATATAAAGTATGTACGTTTAAGCATAATTGCTAAAAATGACATGCAGTGTTTTAGAACATAACCCCCCAAAGATAAACCTAAAGTTAAACCCTTGTATGTGGACAGGTTCTTCAAGTTTATTTTATTATTTTTATTTTGAACAAGCCAAAATGAAATACTCAGTAGATTAAGAAGTAGAAATTCTTCTGAAAAAAAGTATCCTGGTATTTGTACTTTACTTGACACCTCTGAATAAATGAAACAATTATCCTCAAGACATATTTGTTTTGTTTTGTGAACAAAAAGCCAGACGAGCTCACGTACCTGAAGAGAAGAGGAGGGAGAGAGTCACAAAGCTGAGCAGCATCTTCTGTTTGTTTGATCCCAGTCGGAGCATCTGTTGTTTCCCTCTGTAAGTGTGTGTTAGAGTGTGTGTGTGTGTGTGTGTGTGTGTTTTGGATTGTTGTTTTGTTGACGCAGTTCCTCCCACTTTGGCCACCATGAAGAATCTTATAAAAGCTGCCTGGCCGTGTCAGACATCACGTGAAGAACATTCCTCGCTCTCACTGCGGTTTCACAGATACTTCCTCCAACAGGCAGTCCCAGACTGGACCAACAGGTAACGCCTCACCTGTGTACTGCTCCTCCTCCTCCTCCTGCACCGCTTCCTGGAAATCATTCATCTTTCCTAGAAAGAGTCTGTTTCTACTAACAACTTTCCACTTGGGTTCTGATTGTCAGATAAGCAGATGACTCCAGCTGTGTAATGTTTGTTTAGCTCTGTTATCTGATTTACTTTGGTTTGGATGTTGTCAGGTTGTTTTCATATTTTGCTTTCAAGCTGCCGGACTTCCTCCTAAATGCTCAAGTAGTTTGGATCGGTTGTTTATTTAAGACTGCTTCGCTGAACTTTGCCTGATTTGATCGTGACATCGTTGTGACGTGTGTGTTTACAAAATTATAATTTAAAAAAAAACTAAGAATGAAAGTGAAATTCTTCTTTTTAAGCATGTGAAATATTTTAATGTCAAGCTTCGAAACAACAATACACAAAAAAACTTTCTTCCCAGTTTCATTAAGTAAGGTTTGAAACTAGACCAGGTTTTATTCTATATGTCATGAAGGTGATGGTTTAATGTAGTGGTTCCCATCCTGGAGGGGACACCACAGAGTGGGGTGGGGGGGAGGTTGTGACATCAATTTATTGTTTGTATATAAAAATCACCAAAACCAGACCATCTGAATAATTAAAGCTCTGCAGAACTCAATTATTCTTTTAATAAAGAGATAAAGGTTGAATGATTTTGGGGGAAGGGTTCAGCTTGGTTTGGATGTACGAAGGAGGATTTTGAGGAAAACAGGTTGGGAACTGTGGAGGACCAAACCTATCTTTATTGGAAATAAATGTATAAATATATAACTGGCGTATTAAAATAAATTATAGGGTCAAAAAGAAGTTTGACAAATTAATTATTGTGCCATTAAATCAATTACATCAATTATCCATCCATCCATCCATCCATC